ATATATATATATGTATATATATATATGTATATATATATATATGTATATATATATAAATTTGTCTGTGCCTGTGTCTGTGTTAGTAGTGTTAGTGTTGGTTTTTTTACGCCTATGCTTGAGTACATGAAAAAGCGTACAGCATGCTATAGAATAGCCAGTGTCTGTGTATCATAGCTTATCTAGATTAGTGACGTAAGCCTGTTCTGTAGGTACATTTTATTTGTTCTCTCTGTTAGTTTTGTGGCATGATTAGGATTCGTAATTGCACGGGAAGAAAAACAGGAGACGTGTCTGGTTCGCTGCGTCGGTATATATATATATATGAGTCCCGGGAACTTCTTTAGTGATAAGGGTGTCCTCACATGTGTACACGTTAACTATACATGTATGTGGGAAGGTGGCGCAATATCAGAAGCTCTTACCCAGCAAAACAGTTCTTTCCAACCCCCACGACTTTCAAACGGCTGCTATAGACCTCATTGCCTACTATGAATTCCCCGAAACTCATAAACGGTTTCGACTGCTATTGTAACCGGACCATAGGTACCGTGGATGTCATGTCGGGCGACAGGGAAGTCAGCTACACGCGACTGTCAGATGGCGCTATCTTCGGAGAGATCGCCTTGTTGTTGAGTGTACCAAGAACCGCCACTATTATTGCGGTGGAGAAGTGTATATGCTTCGTGTTGAATAAGGAGAAGCTGAATGCTATTTTGAAGTGAGTATGCCCGTTCGTTTCTCGGTGTGGCTTTTTTGATGTGCAGAAACGGTGGTTGGGATTTGTGTGCTGGTGTGTTCTCTGCAACATGCTCATGTGAGCAATAAATCAGCGGCAGAAGACGGACATGCCGTGGGAATACGGTTGGCGTACAGCTTAGTCTCCTACGCAGAAGTACTAGCACCTCCATAATCTTTTGAGTTTTTGTGGGAGGGTAGTGTGTGGTTACTTACACGGCATGGTACTGTGACCCCTGTGGTCGGTGTTCAGGTTTCCAGGAGTACATATGAGCGACATGCACCGCACTTTGAAAAGGGGTGGCTTGAGGTGTATACATGCACTTTTTCACGTGTTGGCGACTGTTTCAATGCGACAATACACTTGCCATAGTTCTAGGGCGTGGGGTTTGTCCCGTGGGGTTTGTCCTGTGGGGTTTGTCTAAATGCAGTTGTTCGCCAAAATACTTGTTGTGCTACATTGAAACCGTATCGTTTTAACCCTCTGTCCACTCGCCTATAAACCGTTCACACACACCCAACCCCTGCCCTCGTGCCTCACACACCCTCTCTCGCTATACCCCTCAGAGATTATCCCGAAGAAGCCAAGAAAATCCGCGAGGTCGGCGCGCGAAGGTACGCGCTTTATCAGTCTCAGAACTCCAGCACGGAGAAGCAGGCGACTAGGCGGAACACTGATCCCTCCGTTGCGGCCCGCGAATGGGGAGGGTCGCGTAGAACCGTTGGCGCTATGGAGCATGGTGCGGCGGACAAACCGGAGGCCATACTAAAGCTGGGCTTGAGCCCGAATGCGAACAAGTAAATCTGGGTGTAGGTGTGGGTGCGGGTATGGGTGGTTGATGATGTTCGATGCGATGCGTATTTTTTATATAGTGTGTGAAGTTTCGAGGTCACTAAGTTTATTCAGTGGGAGCGGTTGGATTGTATTTGCCATGTCTGCTGCTGTGGTATCTGCTTGTTTAGGGCAGCCAGTGGAAGTGGAGCACTGTGTCGATGGGCCTGCTGTTATATTGCACGACCGTATTGTAATTTTAAGACTATCAGTCTTATGTGACTAGTTGATGTATATATATAAATATGTATATATATAAATACACACACACACACACACACACACACACATATATATATATATATGTATGTATTATGTATGTATGTATGTTTTTATTCTCGAGACTATCATTTTTATGTGCTTATTGGATATATATATACACATGTGGATATATGTATATATGTATATATATAGATATATGTATATATATATATATGTATATATGTATATATATATGTATATATGTTTATGTATGTGTTTGTGCGTGTATGTATGTATGCATATATATATATATATATATAGGTATGTGTATATGTATATGTATATGTATATATGTATATATGTATGTATACGTGTATATATAGATATAAGTATATATATATATATATTTATATATATATATATATGTATGTATGCATATTATATATGTATATATATATAAGTATAAGTTATATATACATAAATAAACAGATGAATATAGAAATATGTAAACAGACACACACGCGCGCGCATATATGTATATATATACATATATATACATATATACTTGTATTTATTTGTATCTTTTGGTATCTATGTACTTTATACATAATTATATATATATACTAAAACTGAATCTTCTATAATGTTCTATTTTTACGTATTCACAAATGCATGATTTTGTATCTGTATGACCTGTTTGCTGGCGAATGTGCCTGTATGACTGTGTATTGACTGGGATATGTCCATCCCCGACAATGCATTTATGTGCACACACCCTTCTCTGTGTACCAAACTCACAATCCAATACCCGATTTCCGCTCAATTTCTTGAAGGTATTCTGATTCCGAGGGCGAGGGATCGGTGATCAGCCAAGTCAATGTGCTGCATGATCTCAGCATGTTACACGCACACCACCCGCACAGTATGAACGACATTTACTACCGCAGCAGCAACAGCAGCCTCAGCGAGAAAACCAGCAGGGGTCTGGGCAACACACTCGATGTACAACTAGGCAGTACGAATGACCCCAGGAAGATTGCGAGTGCGTCTGTGGAGCGCAGCCAGGTATATATGACCAGTCCCGCACCCATCGCCAACAGGGCAAACAGCACGGGCCCCACGGGTCATTTTAGCTGCGAAAGCAGTAGAGAGGAGAAGGAGAGGGGGGATGCCCACACAGAGCTAGCCACGCACCCATATATATCCACAGGTGCAGGTGCATCCACAGATACAGGTGCAGGTGCATCCACAGATACAGGTGCAGGTGCATACACAGATACAGGTGCATCCACAGATACAGGTGCATCCACAGATACAGGTGCAGGTGCATCCACATATACAGGTGCAGTTACAGGTTCATCGACGCCAGCTTATAAGGAGCCGGTGCGCGCGACCGTCATCACACGACGGAGACACAACACCCAGGACGAGAACCTTATGCGCCTGGCGAGTGTGCCTGTGTTCAAGCGGTCGGGCAATGTCAGCCCAAACTCTTCACCCGTACGCAAGCCGTGCAAGAGTGAGAGTCTGGACACGTACAACCTCTCCACCACAATGAGCCGCAGCGAAAGCAGCCCCAGCGGAACGATGTTTGACAGCGAGATGACGTCCTCGGGTGTGTTGGTGGGTGCGGGGGACGCCCTAGGCCGGACGAGTGTGGGTCATCACAGGTGTGTTCGGTGAGTGGGTGGGTGTGGTATCGCGGGAGTTTGTGTGTATCTTGATATATCACAGATGAGGTGCGTGTGTGTGTATGTGTGTATGTGTGTATGTATGTATGTACGTGTGTGTGCGTGTGTATGTATGTGTGTATGTATGCATGTATGTATGTGTGTGTGCGGGTGTGTGTGTGTGTGCGGGTGTGTGTGTGTGTGTTGGGTGTTAAAGGGTTGTTGCGTAGTAGGCAGGTGATTGGGCCTGATGTGAGTGCTAATAATTGAAGCGGAACTCGTGCATGTTCAGGCGTGAGAGGGTTTTTTTATGCGAGTCTTAGTTTTTTTGTGTTAGCCACTGGGTTTCAGTTGAGCGTAAAGTGTTGTTGTTGTGCGTGTGTGAGTCGTGCGCCTTGGACTGGCCACAGGAACAGCATCTTCGCTTAGCCCCTGCTTACGCTACAGCAGCGGATTTGACTGTTTGCAACTGTTACTAACCCTTCTATTTCACGTATTGCTGGTCATTTTATCCTTAATTTATTAAATTATATCCATCACTTGTACTACGCGCTTACCAGATCAGGTCTAATGGCTGTGCCGTTCACTTTCATACCTACTCAGGTCATCGTCACGGTCATCTGTTTCCATGCTCAAACGGCACTCGTCCAGCGACCCCTTCAAACGGTCCACATCAGAAATCAATCTCAAGTCAATGAGTGCCACAGATACCACCGGCACGCACCCAAGCAGCGCCTCGAGCCGATACAACCCCAACACGAACTTTGAATGGGGAGAGCCGGGCGATGGGAGCTCGGTGCAAAAGTACGATCGAGACGGGACGAATCTATATGTCGACGAGAATTCGGGGATGGGTGTAAATTCGGGTGGGTCATCACCAATTAATTTTAGGAGCCCGCTGGCCAGGGCACACCGCGCGAGGGACTTCAATCGCATTGAATCCCATTCGGAGGACCGGTCCAGAAATATAGAAGGACAGGGCAGAGGGTCAGTCGAATGGATGAGGCGACCGCTGGAGAGTATGTGAATGTGTGTGTACTTGTGGCCACTATTGCGTTGTCTGAGGGTTGAGTTGTTGATTTCTGTGAGGTATGTATTCTATCAGTAACCATGTACCCTTCTGAATGTGTTGTGTGCTATCTAGCTGGCAAGGGGGTGGCTGTATGTATATTGCGGGTGGCATTTGTGCGTGTGTGCATAACTTGCCATCGCCCTAGTGGTGCGAAGTGTCATGCATACAAAGCTGAATTATCGATCTGGCCCGTCTGTGATGCTCACAAACGCTATGTTTCTGAGAAGTCATACCATCGGAGACATTGGTGCAGACCAGATAAAACTCTGCAAGAAGCAACAGACGCAAACACCAGGCACTAGCTATCGATCACTCATAAACGCATGTGCATTTTCTTGTTGTCTGTATTGCGATCATGCCAAATGGCTACTGTCCGTTTTCGATAAACGTTTTCTGTGCTTACCGCAAGGGCAGAAGTGCCCACAGAAGGTTACAGGGGAATGCGCGCCCTCATGTATGCTGTCAGTACTTCCTGCCGTACTTCCTCACGCTCCTATATACCCAAATACAAGTACATGTTTATCTAAATATACGAACATATCTAGGATTGCAGTCTTACCATCTCACACGTTATGTACTCAATTGCAATATACTATATATATGTATATAAGTATTATTATATATGTATGTATGTATTTATGTATATATATATGTATGTATGTATTTGATATATTGTTATATTATATATGTATATTTATATATTTATATATTAATATATATATATCTGTGTGTATGTATATATATGATATGTATTT